CTAACTCTCTATCCCTCTCCCTTCCTCTCTATAAAAAATCATGTATATATATAATTTTTGTTTTGTTTTTAAATATATATCATATTTTTAAAATAAATCATATTTTGGGAGAAGAAGAGGAAAGAAGAGGAGAAGGGGAGAACATTATGGAGGAAAATCGGAGGAAGAGAAATAGAAGTAACAACAAGAGGTAATCATGATTTTCGTGGTGGTGGAATGGTGGTTAAGAACATGGGTTTGGGCTACAATGCTCATGCAACCTCAAGCAGTTTAATTTCTTTAAACTTGCCTTAGTTTTGTAATGTGTAAACTGTAAAATCTGATTTTAATTGTTGCTCTGCATACTCACAGGATTGTTGTCAGAATTAAATGAGATGATAGATGTGAAAACACTTTGATACTTACTAAATTCAATAGAAGCCTAAAAGATTATTGCTACAAAAAGCAGGTGGTAAAGACATTGTTAGGCAAAAAAGGTAAATACTGCCTGACAAAAATCTTCTTAACCTCTTCCTTTGCATTTATTAGCACCTGAGTTGAGCTTTGAGAAGAGGCCAGGTAGGATCTAACCACTCTTTTGAAGGTTTTTATATTGACAAAGAAATGGAATATTTTGTTTGAAGTTGACATGTATATGGAACATGTTGCAGAAAAGAAATGGTCCTCATTGTATTAAATGAACACTGATACCTGTATGCATCAATGCTCTTTTCCAAAACTATTTGAAAATTTTAGAGAATGATACACTTTGCATGAGTGTATGAAACTAGATCAAATGCTCTAAGAAGTAATTAAATTAAATCAAATTGCTTTCTTTTAAAAATATTTTATTGCTTTCTTTTTAAAATATTTCTATTGATTCCAGAGAGGAAGGAAGAGGGAGAGATAGAAGCATCACTGATGAGAAAGAATCATTGACCAGCTGTTTCCTGCATACCCCACACTAGGGATTGAACCCACAACTCAAGCATATTCCCTGACCTGGAATTGAACCATAACCTCCTAGTTCATAGATCAACACTCAACAAGTTAGCCATTTCATCCAGGTGGGAGAAAATATTTTTTTTTTAAATTGTCTGACCTTTCTATCCTTAAAATACAAGGGGGGAGCAGGGGGATGATGACCTCCTTGATCCTATCTCTAAACACATTTTTTTTTGTAAAGCTTAAGGGAAACTTTGCTTTCCATGTCTAAACCACCTATGTTCTAATATCCTATTTTTAGATGACCTGTCTTAGATCCTGGAAACTCATAATTCTGGCATTTCATAGAATTGAGATCTCACAAATCCACTCATGTTTCTTGGTCAGCTAATGATACACTGTGAGCTAGTTAGATAGGTAGATAAATAAAATAGGTTGATAAAAGGACTTATATAGTTCTAAGTAAGAGGGGAAGGCTATAGGGAATCAACTTGTCTAGAATCGTATTGCTATCATTTTGTAACATGTGACAAACTAAATAGCATTGAATGTTTTATTAAAAAATCTTTGATGTATAGTAATTTATTATAAAACAAATACTTTTGGTCTTTACACATTTGAAAGTTAGTTGATGCTATAGCCATGAATTTTTACAACAATATTACTTGTCAATATTCAGTACAGCAGAAATCAATGAGTTATAGAGAAGGCAGAAATTATGAAGTTCTAATAATCTTACAGACATAGCATTTTAGAATTCCACCTCTCTTTATTTTTTAAATTTATTTTTATTGTTGAAAGTATTATAGAGGTCCCCCTTTTAGCCCCCTTAGCCTCATCCTCTTGCCCCCTCCCCAGGCCTTCACTATTGAAGTCCACCTCTCTTGATCTCAATTTGCTTATCAGAGGGTGCCAGATAAAATATATAACTCCAAGTTTAATTTGAATTTTATATAAACATTTTTAAATATAAGTATATGCCAAATATTGCACAGGACATATCTATGCTATATATTTTTTAAAGTTTTTGTTTACTTGAAATTCAAATTTAACTGGGAGTCTTATGTTTTTATTTGTTAAATCTAGCAGACACTGTGGTAAAATGGTAAGTTCAGAAAGGGTTGACATAGATAACTTCTAAGGGCTCTTCTAGTTGGAATCATCCATATTTCAGTTCTGATAAGGTATATGTATATGTAGAACACATATTAGTATATGTATGTAAGGCAGTAGTTCTTACACTTCACTCCCCCCTCTACCCTATGAAGTTCTGATTCACTGTTTCTGGGCGAGGCCAAAAAATATGCACCTTTAACACTCAACCCTGGTAACTCTGATGCAAGTATTGACCATACTTTGAAAACACTGTGAAATGTACAGGACTTTTTTAATCCACACATCTACTCAAGGACACTTGGTCTGCTTCTAAATTTGGCTCTTGTAAATAACTCTGAAATGAACATAGGTGTGCATCTATTCTTTTGAATTAGTAATTTGGGGTTCTTCAGACATATTCCCAGAAGTGGAATCTCTGAGTCATAAGATAGTTCCATTTTTAATTTTTTGAGCTAACACCCTACTGCTTTCCACAGTGCTGCACCAATCTGTATTCCCACCAACAGTGAATGAGGTTTACCTTCCATCCACATCCTTGCCAAAACTTGTTTGTGTATTTACTAATTACAGCCATTCTGACAAGTATAGGATACTACTTAGCCATAAAGAAAAAGGAAATATTGCCCTTTGTCACAGCATGAATGTACCTGCAGAACATTATACTAAGTAAAATAAGCCAGAGAAAGACAAGTACCATATGATTTCACTCATATGTGGAATCTAATGAACAAAATTAACTAATAAGCAAAATAGAAACAGGCTCATAGATAGAGAGCAGGCTAACAGCTGTAAGAGAAGTGGGGTTTGGGTGGGGTAGTGTGGAGAGATTGAGTAAAAAAAGAAAAAAGGGAGAGAAAACTCATGGACACAAACAACAGTGTGGTTTCCTAGTAGTTGGGAGGGGTGGAGGGAAGAGGAGAAGGTTATAAGGGGGAAATGATGATGAGCAGAGACTTGACTTGGAGTCATGAACACACAATGCAGTATACAGATGATGTTTTGTAATAAAAATAAAATTTAAAAAGAAAGAAATACACAATGACTTTCTTCTGCAAATGCAAAAATTATGACTGCCTGGATGACAGAATTTCCCTACCCCTCATTCATTTATGACCATACTATATATTGAACACTACTGTTCAAATCACACAAAAGACCCATTCTGGAATATCTGCTAACACTTCTTTGACTAACACATATTTAATGCTAAATTGGTCACGAAATTGATTTCCATTAATTTTTGTGAAAGTGAGGAACATTCAACTTAATCATATTCAGCTATGAATAAAAGCATTCTAGAAATAATAAAATGCCATGACTTGTTGAGTATTGGACATGGCAATAATATAATTAACTGGAATGGGGAAGAAGCAGCATGAGGCAGTGTGCTGACAAGGGAAAAGCAATTATTTTAATCCTATTCAATCTATGAGCCTGCAACTCTAAAAGGTCAGAGAATACTATCAATATATAAAACCCCTCAACAAAGCCCTTCTTCAGTGAAGATTCAATATTCTGCAATAGTCTTTCCCAAAAACTTAATATGTTAATATTTCTTCATTAGAGTGTGTCTAAGTTAACATTTAACACCCTCACCAGAAGTTAATACTGTAGGCAGAGGTAGTTCAACTTGAGTTTTTCATTAGACCAAAAATTGTTCTAATTTATTCATTAGACAAAAAACTGACTGCTTTTGATTGACCTCATCATGAATGGTTGTAACTCTCAAGTGTGCAAATATCACATAATGACACATCAATACATTCAGAGATAGCTAGCAGGAAAAAAACAAACCTCAATTTTAAGTTGAGTATATGTTTTTATAAGGAATGATCTCACTATAACAGATATATTTAATTCTTTACTCTGTGTTAACTTTAAGATGACTGGATTTCCATCCTGTCAGAAGGAACTAAAATGAAATTATTACAAGATGGTTTGGCAGTATGTCTTGGGTAGGTTTTGCTTTTACCATGTGGGGATGAAAGCAGGGAATTTAACATTGTAGAAGTCTGATTCTAAAGTCACCATCCTTTGGTTTAAATCCAAAATCTGCAACCTATTAGCTTTATGATCCTGGAATATATATAGCTTCTCTTTGTTTCAATTTCTACCTCTCTAAAATGGGACTAAAACCTTTCTCATTTTTCCTTCTGAGGAGTAAATAAGGTAATGTGGAAAATGTCCTTAGATTAGTGTCTGGTTCATGGTAAGTATATTAGTGAAAGATCAAGGGTTGTTGTTATGCTTCTGGTTCATGGACTTTCCAAACATTCTCCCGGCTGGTGGCAATTCTCGCTTACCATTTTATTCAGAGTTTATTTGGGAGGATCAAATAATCTGTTACAGCATGTTGATTCTTACCATAAAGTACCAAGTATGTGTGATGAAAATACAAAGTAGTTAGATTACTTTCACTCACTGATTATGTAATGAGTTTCCTGGCATTGTCAGTACATTGTGAGTGTGTGAAAGACAATTAAGAAGTACATGAGCTCACAATGCTGCAGTTGGCTCAGTTCTGGAAATAGAAACATTTCCTTCTTAGTGTCACTTAAGTCTGCAGGCTCTTTTTGGAGCTTCAAACCTTTGAGACTATTTGTTCCTCAAGGGCAAACCTGTGTATTCACCTTCTGTTTGTGTCTTTATTTTTAAGATTTCCTGACTTTCATCATTACCTATAGTCCTAGAAAATCTGGCTTCTGTTTCAGTGTAGTTTTTTTTTTTAATATATTTTATTGATTTTTTAGAGAGGAAGAGAGTTAGAAACATTGATGAGAGAGAATCATTGATCAGTTGCCTCTTGCACACCCGCTACTGGGGATGTACCCGAAACCAAGGTACATGCCCTTTGACCAGAATCGAACCCGGGACCTTTCAGTCCGCAGGCCGACGCTCTATCTATTGAGCCAAACTGGTTTTGGCTGTTTCAGTGTAGTTTTTCATTTGTTTATTTTTACAAAAATATGGAAAGCTTCATGAATTTGTGTGTCATCCTTGAAAAAGGGCCATGCTAATGTCTGTATCATTCCGATTTTGTAGTATATGTGCTGCTGAAGTGAGCACCAGCGTAGTTTTGAGTTTTAAGTTCAAATATATTCTCACAAATCCCTTTCTGACCCTCCATCAATTCTGATTCAAACAGTGTGATTTACACTCTGAGAAAAACACTATCAGGACTTCCTCATGATTCTGTGTACACATCCACCTCCCCACCTTCAGGCAGTATGAAAGTTTCCTGAACTGTTCTATTCATAATTATATCCCTAAGTTTAATGACAATACATGTACAAAATAAGTAAATATTTACTGAATGAATGAAGTAACTAGTTTATCTCCACCAACACATATATTTCCTTCACCAACACGTCTTTTCCTTCTTTGTTGCCTAACTCGGTGCTTAATTTAATTTAATTTTATTATTTTAATTAACTCATTACCACCCAATCTTTTTAAAAATATATTTTATTGATTTTTTTAAAGAGAGGAAGGGAGAGGGATAGAGAGTTAGAAACATTGATGAGAAACATCCATAATCTGCCTGCTGCACACCTCCTACTGGGGATGTGCCCACAACCAATGTAAGTGCCCTTGACCGGAATCAAACCTGGAACCTTTCAGTCCACAGGCTGACACTCTATCCACTGAGCCAAACCAGTTAGGCATTACCACCGAATCTTGCCACTAATGCATATTTGCTCAACATTTTATTCAATTCCACTTTTTACAACTACGAGTTATTAGCACTGTTCATGCTCAGAGGTCCTATTTTTACCCAAGAAGTTTGTAAGTTTTTACCCATATCTCCAAAGTTTGATTTACCATGTAGGAAATTAATATGATAAAGAAACAATCAATCTAGTACATTTTATTCCAGGCCAAACCCTCTATTTCAAACCAGGTTCAAATCCATCATGACCCTTAGGGAAATTATATTTATTATAGAAGGCAGTCCCTTGATAAACAATTCCTATGTATGACTTGAGTTAATATTTGCCTATCAATCCATAATGCAAAAAACAGTATCACAAAAAAAACCGCATTGTCACCTATGACTTGAGACTATATTTGCCTATCAACTCATAATGCAAAAAATAATATCAGATTAATACAGTAGACTCTCCTTATTTTTTAGAGATCCATTCCAAGATCCACAGTGAATAACTGAAACAATAATTTATGTAGTATAGTACGAAAACCTACATATATTAGTTTTCCTATATATACATATCTATGATGAAGCTTAATGTATGAATTGGGCATGTAAGATATTAATAACAATAAATAATAATAAAATAGAACAATTACAACAATATATTGTAACAAACATTATATAAATATGGTCTTTCCCTCTGATAACTGAGATGGCAGAGAGTTCACACTACGAAATGCTGGACGAAGAGATGGTTCACATCCCAGGTGGGACAGAGCAAGATTTTATTATGCTACTCAGAATAGCATGCAATTTTAAGCTTATGAATTATTTTTAGAGTTTCCGTTTTAATGCTTTTAGACTGGAGATAATTGAAAACCTGAAAAGCAAAACCTGAGATAAAAAGGGACTACTATACTTAATGGTCAATATCTCAGGCAATGATGGAAAATACCAATACAATTATATACAGAATATACAAAAGCAAATTTAGGAAACACTGGGTGACATTTAATGAGAAAGTAACTTGAACCTGAAGAGTTGTTAGGTGTTTCACATGGCAGGATGGTTGAGAACCTCAGTTTGTGTCTTGGGGAATGAGAGCAACTAATAAATACCACAGAATCAGACAAGAGATTATTAATCCCATCAAATATTGAATTTCTGAACTCTCATGGGAGATAACCTTTAATGCATAGGCACAATCCAAAATTGGTCTGCCACAATACTCTGCAGGGACTTCCAGAAAGATACTCAACTTAGATGGCAGGCATGGCATGGGGCAGAGTTTTCCATTGACTGCTCATCAAACAGAGTTCACTAGATTTACTGAGACATCTAACATTTCCATATGGGTTATATATAATGCCAAATCTTTTTTTCCTTCAAAAAGTTCTTGTTTTTTTAAATAATCTAGATACTTTAAAATATCTCCTATAACTTTGTTGAAGAATTACAGTCCTTTTCTAGAAAGTGAAAATTGCTATTCTCAAATAGAAACAAATTTTACATCAAAGAGCTTGAATTCAATGCAGAGGGAGAAAAAGGCAAATATGTAAAACATTCTAGCTGCTGACACTGATATTGGCAAAGACTGTTCTAAACATGCAACATAAAGCCATATGAGGTGGTTTATAAATAATTCCAGAAGTTTCACACCTTTATTGTAATTATCAGAACATCCAAATTATGTTTTTTGCCAGAGTGTCATGAAGACTAAACTCAAAGTCCTTTTAACTTTATAGAGAAAGGCAGACCCTATCCATGATACTGTACACATATATGTTTAGAGAAATCTAGATAATTGACTGCAGTTTTCATTTTTCATCCAGATGCTTAGCAACATGGAGCCAAAGCTCAGATCACTGATACTTTTTGTAACCTCTTCCAAAGCGCAGACAAACTGATTCTCAAACTATTTTGTGATAAAGAGAAAGAATGAGATTTTACCAGTCTAATACAATTACAATGATAGCACATTATTAAGTAAGAAGCTACCTGGATACTCAGAGCCTAGGAAAACTCTTAGACATGCAGCTAAGATCTTCTTATTGTTATTTGTAATCACTGTTGGCTACCTCTTTGTCAGCAAATATTATTCCAGATAGAAGGCTGCATTTTGATAAAAAAGATGATTAGAAAAATGAAAGAGGTCTTAAAAATGACTCTTGAAAATTGCCTAAATTCTTACTAAAGAAGCAAAATAGAAAGAAGCTGTGCTGTTTGGCAGCAAACTCTGACTTGGCAATTGGAAAAAGGAAGAAAAACAAACACCAGACTGGGCAACAGTGTTGACTCAGTAGGCAGTAAGATTCTCAACCATTCAATTTCAACATTCCCTATGCCTAACCCTACTAATTTTGTGACTATGTATAAATGAATACATAGGATGAGATAGAGGGAAGGGAGAAAATAAGAGAGAAAGGGTGAGAGAGACAGAATTTTCATTCCAACAAAAGAATCTTATTTTTAGTATGGCTGAGAAAACCAGATATTTTTATGTAGCTCAGACTTTTGTTAAGGCTGTCTGTTTGTGGTTAGGTCTAATTGATGGATATGTCTGGCTTCCAAGCCCACCCTGACAGGGTTGCTATAGAGAAGGGAGACCTAAAAGCTCCACCCTTCTCCAAATATGGATTGACTAGCCAGCCCTTTATAACAAGTTGATGGCAATATCCAGGATTCCAGTTAATTGAATCAACTATTCCCATTTTGCAAACAGGGCCACACACCAAAGCACTAATTTGACCCAAAAGTCTTTTTGGGGGGGAGAGGGAAGGGGATGGTAAGCAGCAAGTGAGTACCACAAAATGACTAATTCCTCTGCATGGACAAAATTCTTATAGCTGAGCAGAAATGAGGGACAAAAATATCTCTTCATTTGTCATTGGGAAAGAATGAGGTCTCATTGGTAAGGCGGAAACAGAACTCCTTGACAGGGATGTAACAGCCAATGTGGTTGAGAAAGAATATCTGCTAATAGAGAAGAGAAAAAATAAACTAAACAAAATGAGACTACCAGGATGGGATATGAATAAGAGCTCAAATGAATGTTGGCAGGGTGAAAGAAATAGCAGAAACCTGAGTGACAAACCACATCTAGGACAGATTTCTGATAGTCCTTTATGTGTAAAGATTTGGGTGCATAATTTCCTTGTCAAGACAGCTATTCAAAATTCTAACCCAAGATTTTTCTTGGTGTGTGAATATAAATTTTCTATGTGACAAGATATATTTGACAAATGGATTTACTCCATAAGATATTTTATTTGGGCATTTTTATTCAGTTTTCTTTTGTTCCCTACCTAACAGCATACAGATTAGGGAACCATGAATAATTGTGACCTGTTATTTAAACATATGATATATGTGATTTCTTTCTACATCTATAGGTGAGTGGAAGGATACAAACTGGTCCTTTTCATGTGGTTATTAGTTCTAGGAAATTTCTTAAATGTAACAATTATGTCCCTTAGAAAAACACTTAAATCATGAGCTCTTCAGTCCAACCACACAAAAGAAACATTGATCTACATTATTGCTATGTCAAGCACACAAACTTGAAATTATTTTCTTTGATTTGCCCATCTGAAAGTCAATCTTAGTCCAAGGTGGAGTTTATTTTATACTAGAGGATCAGTGCATGAAATTCCTTCACCTGGCCCGGGGGGGGGTGTCTATCAGCCCAGCCTGCACCCTCTCCAATCTGGGACCCCTTGAGGGATGTCCAACTGCCCGATTAGACCTGTTCCAGGTGGGATTGGGCCTAATGGGAAGTTGGACATCCCTATCACAATCCAGGACTGCTGGCTCCCAACTGCCTGCCTGTCTGCCTTCCTGATTGCCCCTAACCGTTTCTGCCTGCCAGCCTGATCACCCCCTAACCACTCCCATGCCAGCCTGATTGATGTCTAACTGCTCCCCTGCCATCTGGTTTGCCCCCAACTTCCCTCCTCTGCCAGCCTTGTCACCCCTAACTGCCCTCCCCTGCAGGGTTGATCGCCTCCAACTGCCCTTCCTTGCAAGCCTGGTCCCTTCTCACTGCCCTCCCTTGCTGGCCATCCTGTGGTGGCCATCTGGTATCCAAAAGGGGGCAGGATCTTTGACCATATGGGGGCAGCTATTATGTGTTAGAGTGATGGTCAATCTGCATATTACTCTTTTATTAGATAGGATAGAGGCCTGGTGCATGGGTGGGGGCCAGCTGGTTTGCCCTGAAGGGTGTCCCAGATCAGGGTGGGAGGTCCCTTGGGGCATGGGGAAGCCTGGGGGGGGGGCTGTGGTGGTTTGCAGGCTGGCCATGCCCCCTGTCAACCCAAGTGGAGGCCCTGGTATCTGTAATTTATTTACTTTCTACAATTGAAACTTTGTAGTCTGGAACAGAGCCATGCCTTCTGCTTGCTTTGTGACTGCT